AGTAAATATTTAGTTTTGATAGAGTTGTATTTTTAAAATCTGCAAAAATTACAAAATTTTAATTTGATTTCTAAGCTCACTTTTTTTTTTATTTCATGTTACATATTATTGCACAATTTAATTTTAAATTAATATGTAGGTGAAGAAACATTACGGAATCAAAGTTTATAGTAATTTTATATAATTTTATATATATAAAAATTTACAAGCAAAATAGTGTGCCAAATCGTGTGACTGATATTTAGTAATCCTAACTAGTTAACTAAATAACTGTTATATATATATATATTTTTAGTTAGTTAACTAGTTAATAATTAGCTGATTAATATTTATATGGTTAAAAATACTAGGCACATTTTGAATGTTATTTATAGAGATATTAAAAGTTTGGTTCAGTTTAACTTGACTCCAAAAGTCAAGTATTCAGTTCTGAGTTAGACTTGGCATTTTATATACATCTTGAACATTCAAATATAGCATATATATATATGCAAAGTATGCATAAATACTTTTTTGGCTATATTTAAATATTCAAAATGCATATAAAATGCAAGTCAAATTCAAGTTTGACTCGAAACTGAACTTTAATTAAGACTTAACTTTTGGAGTCGAGTCAAACTAAACCAAATTTTTAATATCTCTAGCTATTTAAATATTGTAATTTAATAATGTGATTTAGCAGACATGCATTACAAGTTGAATCAATAAATATTAGGTACATACCAGAAGGCAAGTTTCCTGTTATATACCTGATAGTTTGCTATAAATTCGCCAAATAACTGCTGAATAACAGTAGCATATTGGTAGAATATTGAAAAATTATTTGGCAGATATATAGTAGACTATTGAATACATAACAGGAACTTGTCTTTCAGTATATACACCTAATATTTATTAATTCAACTTGTGCATGTTTGTTAAATCACATGCTAGACTTTACTAAAGTTTTATACAATTTGAATAACTTTTTATTAATACATTTTTGCATTTTAAATTTAGAATATGTATAATTTTATATTATAAACAACTTTCATTAATTGACAAATATAGATTTACTTAATACAATTTTGACTTTTATATATAGAAACCACTTTTACTTAATAAAAAATGACTAAAATTCTAAAAATAAGCTACTTCTGAAATTTTTGTATAATTTTTTGCCCAAAAATAGTAGCTTATTTTTGAGAACCTATAACAATATTACAATATTATTTATGTTATTTAAAAGTTATTTATCAACCTTGTCTAAAGGTAAATAACATTATAGTTGAAACTTAGTATCTAGAAGGTAGATTAAATACAAAGTTATTTCTATAAAAGATAAAAAAGCAGTAGTAATTATTCTAGATTTAGAAATTTAATAGAGATAATTGGCCAAAAGTTTAAATAGATAATTCTAGTTTAGATTGCAAATACAAACATCTAGTATAAATAGCACCAAAAGCATAGTAGCTAGTTGTATTCTTACTATAATTTCTAAATATATATAGATTCTTATAATTCAACATGTGTATTATAAATATTAATAAAATCTAGTTGCCAAAAAACCTTAGCAAAAAAAAAAAATTTACAAAAATAGAAAATATTTAAAGTTAATTTGTATAAAATTTTTATTAATAAATATTAATAAAATTTTGTATAAATTATAATCTAAATAAATTAATAAATAAATAGATTAAAATAATTTTTTTTTATATAAGTTATATTAAATTTAGTATTTTTGGCCTACAAATACCCATTAATAATAAAATTAAATATCAATCTCGTTAATACATTATCAACTTAAACTATAAAATAAATTTTTACAAATTTTTACATATTAAAATTTCCCTCATATATATCAACTTTAATATAATCTCTTGTTAATATCACTATCAACATAAATTTAAACCATTCAATAGTAGACTGTATAAACAATTTTGATAATAAATAAATTTTAATCTACTAATCTAATCTAGATTTTGCTATATTACCAAAATAATAAATTTGATCTTTTCTTTATTGCTTTTTGCGAGTCTCTATTGTCTTACTATTCAAGCAAAGATGTTAGCATTTTCTTTTCTCAAAAATCTAATTCAGTTGAATGTTCAATAATTTTTTTATAAGATTTATTCAAATTTCGAATTAACAGAGAATCAAACCGATCAATTTTACCAAGAAAAAATCTTGATCATATAATTAGTAGTATAACTTCTTTATTATTATTATTATTATTCTGTTTGTGCACATCCGCATTACTCAGAAATAATTCAATCGTGTAAAAATTAATGCGAATATGAGGGAAATAAAGCCAGCAGAATTCTTAGTTCAATCTTATTAATATGACAAAAAAATAATATATGTTATAAAAATATGTTATAAAAAATATATACACATGAATTATTTCTGCTTCTTACGAACGCCACCACGTTTAGGCCCCGTTCCACTTGACATGGCGGCATCTGATGTCTTTCGTGTTCTAGCACCACTACGTTTTGATGAAGCTTGTGTCTTAACGGGTTCTGCAACGTCAGGTTTTCTTGAAGTCCTAGTTCTTCTTGTTTTTTTATTATCTAAGCAAACAAAGAATTAAATTTAAATAAACAAAGTTACTTTTAAAGAACGAATAAAAAATGGAAAAGTATGAAACCTTCAGGTTCTGGTGAAGACTCTTGAGAAGCGGTATGTGATAGCGAAGGAGATTGTTCTCTTCGACTTTTTTGACTTTTTGTGGGAGCCGGTGAAGGAGAGTCACCACGTGAAGAACCAGCTTTACGATGCTCTTCAATGAGATGGTAGTATTCATCCATTGGCAAACTGAATTCTGTAAATGCGCTATCTTCATCAGCTTCTTCATCGAAATCACGATCCTTTAATTAAACGTAAATTCAGTAAGAAAAAGTAATTAAAGCAGGAGATTGAAGATGTCACCTACCAAATCTTCGAGTTTAGACAAGTTAAAATATGTACCAAATCGTTCCCATAGCTCGGGTATCGTACATTTTACAGCGCTATTAGCATTAAAATCATGATGCACATTTACCATGTGGAAATGCCGGTGAATACCTTGATCAAGGTTAGCATATATTTTTACATAGTATATTATATGATTTTGGAAGCGATCTTACCAACAGGTCTATGCTTCATAATAGCACGAAAGAATTCAATTTCCATTTTCACGTCCCATTCGACTGGCGTATACTGCATTTGCATCCTACATGTTGACAATTGTTATTATTAAATTCACAGAAATGTGATAAATGTGATAACCACTGGGATCTAAAAAAATTGATTATCGCAATATTTTAAAAGAAAATTATAGAAAAACTTACCTGGCTATAGTCAGATCTCTTTACTTTTGTACAATATATTTTTTTTGTCCCGAAGCGTAGCGAAGAAGGTACTATTGCCACGTGTGGTAACCAATAAAATTGGATGAGCATGTGGAACATAAAAATAAAAAACAAAACAAAATTTCACGTGATAATTAGTCAATCTAGCTAAAAAAATAAATTTGTTATACTTATAAGTCAATGACACACCAAATTTGATAACAGATAATAATTAGTATAGTTGATGGTATCTCTCATTGGAAGATGAATCGAAGTATATATATTTAGAATAGGCTATTCTAGTTTATGAAAATAAATTTATTTCTGTATTTAATGAAAAAATTTATTATGATATTTAAATATTTGAGTTCATAAAAATTTACATTAGGTTTGGCCAACTTATAACATAGACAAACTGGCTAATTTAACTTCGGAGGCTTAGATAAAATTATAGAGTTTATCATTCGATAAAGGATAGGCCACTATAAAATAAAGTAAGGTGAGTTATGTTTAAGCCTCATTAGTCCTTTAAAGTTAAGGTTTGGTTACGACGCTTATGTGCGAGGTAGGGACACATAAGCTCACCAACCCGATAATGCCTCAAATTACCGACGTCACGCCTCTGGCGAGTTGCCTTATAGTAAAGCCTATATTTTATAAAGTATAAATCGTACTGTTCATCCCGTAACACTATATAAAATGCTTCACTATCTATAAAAAAAACAAATATAGATATGATTAACCATCAATGTATATCAATTGTTAAAATTTCCATTAAGGTTCCAAACAAAGAGATGGTTCGCATTAGTATCATGAACCGATTTGATAAAGAGAACAGAATAATTAGATAGCAATAATGGTCATAGAAATTTTTTACAAGAATCCGAGCAGATTTACATCTACAACTCTACCTACAACATAAATAGACTCAATTGGGAACTTTACTCTGTAATTGGTGAAATAGATGGTATTGGTTATCCAATAACATATTTGTTCGTTGAACCATCACAAGATGATGATCAGACAACCGATTCTCTAACTAAAAAGTATATTATATATATATATATATATAGTATATATGTTTTTTATTTATCAGAATATACACTAACGCTAATATATAAAATAAACAGGTGAATAAATCAACATAAAGAAAACGAGTTTACATTAAAAAAATTACACCCATTCCCGAAATCATAATATTGATGCCATAATTTTAGGATTGAAGAATTTCACGACGGTGCACTATGTGGAAAACCTGCAGTTAAAGAAATTGTTAATAATCGTGAAAAAAATATCAATTATCGCAGCAATGAATAGAAATGGTATTAAAGTTTTCATCTCGTTTAGACACATCAATTGGCGCTATCTAAAAAATTTTATATAAACTTTACGAGATCACTTCCTATTGATCGTGAGAAGTTTTTTTTTTACCACTCACAAAATTCTGATGCTTTTTACTATTAATATATATATATATATTTCACAGCGGTTTTCAACAAAATTCCGGTAATAACTTTTATTTATTCATAAGTAACACTTAGGAACTTTGTTAGAAAATACCGAGTGTCATTTGACATGATAAAGCTCCTAATGGATTAAACTATTCGCCTTATATTTTTTTAATTGTGGAGATGCTATTGTAATCCGATTTGTTTCAATTCCTACTATTACAATTTAATTGGCAATATAGATAAGAATGTTAAAAGTTCAGTCCGGTTCAGCTCGACTCCAAAAGTCGAGTATTCGGTTCCAAGTCAAACGGCTCGCATTTCACGTGCAACCTGTACTAAAGAAAATGTATACACATGCAGAATATACATGAATACTGTACACTTTTTTTTAAATGCAAGATGCACGTGATATGCGAGTCGAGTCCCAAGTTTGACTCGGAACCTTTGGAGTCGAGTCGAACTTTTAACATCCTTAACGCTAAGTATATCGATATAGATATATAATGTAGCCACATTATGTGGTAAGATAACCAATGAGAAATATGTAGTTTCACAAGTTTATCAACAATTGCGATCATAATTTTGCGACTGAATGTGTTTAATTTTTATAGATTTATGTACTGTACGTACCGTACATAAAATGTAACTTATTTTAAATATTAATTATATTAATTATTTTTTGAAAATAAATGCTATGGTAAAACTCGAAGAGCAATCTATATTAAAGGGATATAATTTCTTTTACAACCAATCAAATCAACTCATTGCATGATGGACGAACAGAACATTAAATTAAAGACATTTAAAGTATAGATTTTTAGAAAAATCCAATTTATCGCGTTTTTTTTTTAATGAACTTAATGTTTATATTTAGGTATGAACGTACGTGATATATTTGTTTAATTAATAATATAAATGATGCAAAAGTTTTAATAGATTATAAAGTTTATATACAGTATCAGCAGTAAGATGCATCCATTTTTTTATTACATAGTAAAAACTTTAAAATTATTATAACTTAAAACAAGTTAAAGAACTTTCTGACAAATTGATGGATTTTTGTTATACATTTTAATCAGAAGATTTTTTTTGTTTATTTTATTTTTAATTTAAAAAAGTTACTGTATAAAGTTCAAAAAATTGGCGTTTAACGTTAATACGTATATAATATAAAAAAAGATATGTTATATACATATCAGAATTAGTTACATCAAAAACTGGAATTGATATGCAAGCATCAAAAAATAAAAAATTGTCACTCTATGCTATAGATTGGATACCTTTACTGTCTCGATACTGTAAAATAATTTCATAAATGCTTACGTATGTGGAATGGTACAAATATATGCAATAATTAAGTAGTATTGCTCCATTAATAATATAAAATTTAGTGACTCGTCTCTAGCAAAGGCAGTAATAATTAAAAAATATGGTTTTTATTCAAATATATATATATATAATATATAATAAAGAATAGCAATATAAGTTTTGCTAATAAAAGAATATAGGCTGTGATTCTGACAGTATTCTAACCATCCCGTTGCATATATCCAGTGTATTTCTTCATTTGTTTAATTTGCATAACTACCGCGGCGATCGTAGTCCCTTTCTGTCCTACGTTCACGGCTTGGAGTTCTATACCTCCTACTACGACTTTCACTTCGTCGATGTTCGCGTTCATGATCTCTCGTTCTATCACGATCCCGACGACGATCATAATCATGATCATGATATCGGTTTGTTCTTGAAGATCCTCTATCAGGACTACGGCTACGAGTACGATTACGATACTTCCTTCCTTCGTCGATACGTCTCACAGAACGTTCTAATGATGCCCTAGGATCAAGATCATATGATGGAGATTCCCTCCTTAATTATGAAAAACCATAAGAAATTACATCAGCAATGAAATGAAATCATTTTTTTTTTATGTATTTTAAAAAACTTTCTCTTTCGTTTTCTACCTCATTCCCTAGGAATCATCACTTTTATATCCAGTCGCTTTTATATGCATATGTGGGTTATAAAGCCAAAAGGCGCAACCTAAACACAAAAACAATTCAAGCATTGACCGGAAGTATTAAAATCCTATGCCTACCTTGGTAAAGGTGGTGGTTGTAATCTTTCCTTGATTTTTTGATCGATATCACGAGCGATAGGTACGGGGATGCGAGGTAAAATAGTACCAAGCCATTTTTGTTCAGTTAACAATTGGCGGCACATTTTACCGATAGTTCTGATTTTCAAAAATGTGTTATTAGAAACATACGTCTTTAGATCCCAACTGTAAGAAATGATCACCACACAACCATGAACAGACTCACGATGAATAGTCGGAGTATACGAATATACTTCATAGAACATACATACATTGAGACCGGCCGTGGACCTCCTTGAACTTGCACTTGCTCTTCATCCTCCAGGTATCCTTCAAACCATTCCCATAAGTTCGTTGGCTTGCAAACATAACGAAGGTATAAAAATCCTAAAGCTCTAATGTGGCTATTGAATTTATGATTTTAAATGTCAAGTAAATGATTAGTCTAACATCAAAAAAAAAAAATTGACAAAACCTTAAAGTACAAATATACATACGCAGAATCAGTATGTTCAATCAAGCCAGTCACCTGTTTGACGGTTAATCGGAGAGTCCAAAGCTTATATAACAGGCAAAAGGCCGTCGACGCTGTCGTTCCTTTAAGGAAAGGTTCTATAACAAACGGAAAGGTTATATAATTTTTCATACAAAGAAATTAGACCAAATTTTTTAAAAAATTGTACTTACCAAGTGACTCGACTAATATTAAAAGAAACAAAGACGTTAATGTACACTCCAAGTATGGAAATCAGCCGTTAAATAGTAAATTTCTCACCGTGGTTATATATTTCATCAATCACTTCGTGATACGTTTTCAACTCGCTAAGTTTAGTCATGATGAACTTAGGATCAAAAACTAGAAGTTCAACATTTCTAAAAATTATCCTGCTAAGACATACTCACTATAGTTGCTTGAAATAAGGTGAGGCTTGAATATTCTGATAAAGAATATTGTTTAGATTCATGGTAGCTTCGTTGCCCCAGGTTTCCAACTTGTTTGACTGCTTCATATTTTTTTTACTCAAGGCCTTTACTATATATTTCGATGTCTTTACTCTCGTCAATGATAATAATAAAATAGTTGATCGCAAACTCGCAAAGACAAGTGCTGATAATATTAAGTTCCATCAATTGTCGTATCATATTAGCAAAAAAAAAAAAACACACACGTGATGCAATGAATCATTGTTAAGAACTGGTATTTACGTAATGCAGGCCGGTTGATTTTCAAACTATCGGGCTAAGTTATATACTATATATATCCGATATTCCCGTTTTTTTTTTTTTTTGTTCACTTTATATTAGAATATATTATATTTATCCTGGATAGCAAAAAACTTCTATAGTCCAGTGCAAAATTATAGATATACCAAAAGTTAATTTTGTTTATATATGTTGTGCTCCATTAGTATTTATATAGTAAAAATTGATTTTTTAAAAATTAAAGAACTTTTTAATAAGTTAATCTTTCTTCTAGCACTAAATAAGGTTGTAGAGAAGACTTTTCTGGTTCTAATAGTGGTTAGATCATTAAAATCGGCCTGGTGGATCTCAAGATATTTGGGGTTAAAGGCGCGAATATAAAGATCTACAAATTCACTGTTACACGAAGTATAATACTTCGTATAACAGTGAATTTGTAAATCTTTATATTCGCGCCTTTAACCCCAAATATCTTGAGATCCACCAGGCCAATTTTAATGATCTAACCACCATTGGACTCAGAATTATTCTCTCTACAACTTTACTTAAAACTAGAAGAAAGGTTAACTTATTAAAAAGTTCTTTAATTTTTAAAAAATCAATTTTTACTATATAAATACTAATAATTTGCATTTGGGGCAAGATTGGTAGCCCAAAATTAAATTGTTATCTGGGCTAGCCTAATTGACAATTGGGCCAATTTGCATCTGGGGCACAACATATATATATAAAAAGTTTTTAATTTTAACTACGTATATATTTATTTATACCAAATAAACAGTTACATGATATGTCACATATAAATTTTTATTATAAAATTATTATTTTAACTGTTTAGACAAATTTGTTTGGAATTTTGACAATTTTTAAAAAATATTAATAATATGTAGAGCTCTTACTCAGGTCAGAAAATAGTGATCCGGGTCAATACCCGACCTGAAATTTTTTGACCCAGGTTAGATCAATTATATAGATGTTCACTTTGTAATCTGATTGGCCAGTATTTAAAGTCAAAGCTTTCCAGTACTTATTTCATACCCGTTTTACTTATATGACCTGGGTTAGCTTGATTTGATCTGTGACTAGAGATTAGACCCGTATAAGGATTACCCGGGTAACCTGTATAAGCACTCTTAACCGGTTAGTAATTTTGTTAATCGGTTAATCCGGATAAGAAAAAAATAAAAATTAGAAACCCGGTTTATCAATTTTTAATAATAATTTACTAGGGATGTTAAAATGATCCAATGATCTGATCTTGATCCGGTTTATCTGCAATTGCATTATTAATTCTGGTTAGATCGGACCATTAATCCTTGATCTCATGATCCAGATCAGATCAATTTAACATCTCTATCGAGTACTTTCTGAATTTATATTGTGAATCATGAATCCAATCTTTAATATTGTATTAACCAGCTCTGATTTTTTATACAAGGCTTTATATAAGCATATACGTGTTATTAATTTCATATTACTTAAATTTTTTGTATTCAAAATTCCCCAAATACACTCCCCTGACATAAGTCACCAGATTTTTTTGGTAACGTATGACAATCATTTTTTTTTGCAAGTTTTTGATTTGCAAATTCTCAACAAACTACATATTAATTCGGGTCAAAATTTTTTTATTTAACAGCTACATATATAAATTTTATTTATATAATTTAGTACCGTGTAGGGTACCCATTAGCAGCAATTACAGCAAGAACACGTCGATGCATACTTTCAACAAGATTTTTTAAAATTGAACCATCAATTTTAAACCACTCTTCCTGGAGCAAATTGAAGAGTTCCGACTCATCGCTTGGTAGAGGAATGTGCTTATGTATACGACGCTCCAATTCATCCCATAAATGTTCAATGGGGTTAAGGTCCGGGCTATATGAGGGCCACGGAAGTTGTCGAATACCATTTTCGTTAAACCAACGTTCAGTAAATTTGGAAGTGTGAATTTTAGCATTATCATCTTGGAACACATAATTTTTTTGACCAACTACGTTTATTAAATTGTTTAAATAGGATATATAGCAAGTTTCAAGAATTTCTATATAATTTTTAGAATCCATCCTGCCATGAACCCGAACCAAAGGCCCAAGACTGTATATGCTAAAACACCCCAAACCATTACACCTAATCTTCCCGGCCTAAATGTTGGAACCAAACATTCAACATCATATTTTTCTTTTGGTTTTCTCCAAGCATACTTATGATCATCCCCTCCAAACACCTCAAATCTAGATTCGTCACTCCAAATAACATTTTTCTACCTTTCATCCCAACCTATTTTTGCCCTTATCCAATCCAAACAAGCCACACGAGAGTCCTCATCTACAAATAGTTTTCTTAAACCAACCTGACCATAAAACTCTTCATTATGAAGGTGCCGTTGTATGGTTCGTGTGGATACTTCTACGGAGGTTGCTTCAACAAATTTGTTCGTCAAAACATTAAGCGTGACCTTTCTGTCCTTTTTTAAAATGCGAGTTAGGTGCCGAACACCATGTTTAATTACTTTAGGAGATCATCCAGGACGAGGAAAAGGTACAGTTTCCCCAGTCTTTTTGTAGTATGTAATAACATCATTGACAGTGCTTTTTGCAAATTTTAGAGTTTCTGCGATTCTTATTTGCTTCACACCATTTTTCCAAGCACCAATAATTTGGTTGCGTTATTTACAGATAAACTGTTTCCTTTGTTTCATAGTAAAAAAAAAAAAAAAATTGAGAAAAAAAAAAAAAAATTGACACACTAGTAGGTTCAAATAAAACTGTAAAAAAAATTTTTTTTGGGTCAGTATAGTAATTTTCAATAAAAAAAAATTTCAAAAACAATGAGGTCATACAGATGATCTTCACCGAAATTGAAAAATCTGGTGATTTATGTCAGGGGAGTGTACATACAGTATAAGACCAGTAAAATTAAAATGGCACAAGTACCCACCTATAATTTTGCAAATACATACGTACATATGTAAATAGCAGATTCAGTGATTTTTTTTGGTTATTATTTGCTGAAGACTAATTTTACTAATGCCAAGAGACCTAAGCTATGTCTTATTTGGATTATTCTTTTAGATTGATGTGAGGAATATAATCGCATGAATTAAACTGTTTTTGGAAGAAAACAAAATAGAAAAATTGTGTGAAGGGCTATAAATAGAATATGTATATTAATTATCATTATTGAATTATGCTTTAAAAGTCAATAGAGTTAATTGAGAAGCATAATTGTATTTAAAAAGATGCAGGTCAGAAAATTGTATGATCAATGAAGATGTAGGATTAATCATAATGATCATGCACCCTAAATCGATGGGATTAATATAAGAAGCATAATTTGGAAGGGCATGAATTAAAAGTGAGTGCCCTGAGAGATTGTAAAAAAATAGCCTGATGAATAATAAAAGGTAAATAAGATAAAAATATAAGAAAGAGGGGCGATATATTGATCAGAATCAAGTAATTTTGGTATTGTTTGATTCGTCTTACTAAGATGAATCAAATAATATAATTTTTTTTGATTCTAATTACTAAATTAAAGGATATAAATAAAAGTCAGCATTACTTATAATATAATTAAGTTTCTTTTAATTTTTATAATTGCATAATTAAATTGTATTTAGAAGGGCATAAATTAGAAAAATGGTCTAAAGAATCGTAAAACTTAAATTTGAGAAATTGGTATGAGAAGTTATAAGGGAAGAGTCGCATAATATTTAGATAATTGCATAACTTAATTGTATGTAGGAGGAAATAAATTAGATAAGTAGTTTGAGATTTAGATTAGAGAAATTGGTATGAGAAATCATAAGAGAATAGTCACATTTCGATAGTTGTAAAAAATATATTTAAGCTGCATTTTTTGACTTTAAAAATTTAATTTTATAAAGATTTTTTTTTTTTTTTTTTTTTTTTTTTTTTAATATTTAGGTGACCACTTAGGCCCCTGGCACTTTATTAGTTCAAAC